GCTGCTAGCTGTGCTTCCAGAGCCTCTTTTCCCTCCTGCAGCTCAGCCAGTTTCTTTGTAGTCTTCAGTGCCACAGCATCAGAGCTGTGGTACCCTGTCTTTGAGCGAGGGGTGGAGGGGCAGGGGGCTTTTGCTGCACCGTGCTTTTCCTGTCTTTTCCTGAGTTCCATCTTTGTAGCAGCTGCTTTTGTCACCCGTCTCGGCTGTGGCTGTGGTGGCACTTGCTTCGCTGGGTCGGTGCTCATAGGAGGTGGTGTCTGAGGCCCGATATCAGCAGCTGTGTCGTCATCAGATTCCGTGTCCAGCACCTCTTCCTCCTTGTCATCAGATTCAGAGCAGGATGCTGTCGGCGGTGGGGGTCGGCGTCCAGGGGCCAGAGTGTCCTCATATTGGTCCCTCAGCCCATGCAGAGAGGGATAAATGGAAGGAAACAATCGTTTAGTATTTTTATCAACAGCTTTTAAATCATTTTTTTCATCCTTTTCAGTAGGCTTTTTTCCTTTTTATTTGAATAGGGAGGAGGGCTACTTTTATACATACACATTTCTGAGCTCAAAGCTTTTCTTTCCCTCCTCTAAGCCTCTTCCTCCCACGCTGATAAACATTTTTTATGATGTTCTATTTCATTCAAATCAGAAACCTTTATCGTTTTCTTGATTTAAGTTTTGATTCATGTTGCAGTATCCGACCCCGGAGGTGGGTCAGCTGCCTGGGGCTAAAACTCCCCCCCTCCGGAAATCCGAACTGGTCTGACCACACACGCAGACAAGGCGTGGCCTCTTCGCCATACAATTTAACCATAGCTTTTGCGCAAGGGCTGTCCGATGCTACCGAGGGCTGAGTGGTGGACACACTTTGTCCCATCACTGTCAACTCGTGCCTTTCAACGCACTACTTATAAACTTCCTCAAAATGGAAATCCGGCGGCCGCCTTTTTATCTGACTTTTTAGCCTACCCTGTTTTCCTGAAACAGCAAATGGAAAAACCAATTTTCCCTTAGCAGTTCGCCCTGGCTAGCTGCCTACTCTAACCAGGTTCAAACGAATTCTCTCCTGGCTAGCTCAAAACAGTAAACTCAAACCTCCCTGTTTTAAAAACTCTGTCTGGAATAAAACGCTCCCAAACCTACCTCGGCTAAAAATTAGTCAGCCCCTAAAGCACAACAGAGCAGGCACCTAAACAAAATAGATTTTTAGAGTGTGCTAAGCCCGAAAAAGTTAGCTGTAGCACTTTCGCTTATTTATTTATTTATTTCCGACAGCGTAAAGATATTTAGCTCACCCGTGTTTCCGTCCAGACAGGTTCTTTTAGCTCCACTGTCGGAGCGCCACCCGCAGCAGTCGTCCGTATGACGGACCCACAAAAACCCGGAGCAGACAAAAGCTTCCGTCGCCGCCATGTTTGCGGTATGGTCCGAAACAGACAAACGGCTGTTGCGAGCGCTCTCCGCCCCTGCAAGCTTCCATAGTTGAAAACGCCAATAAACTGTCGCGGCAAGATG